TTTAAAAGGAAAAGAAAACAAAAAAGGCAACCTTTTATCTTGTTGAATTGAAAAAGTTAATATTTTGATGTGCAGCCATATTGAAAGGACAAAGATACTGGAGGCCTTCAAAACCAGCAAGACTGTCAACACTGTATTCCTGTCAAAGGTAATCTATGAATGTTCCAAAAAATAAAAATATATTTGTTTGTCTTTTATTTTTTAAATGTTTGTTTCTGTTTGTTGTAGGTGGGAGATAATTCAATAGATATTCCGGAAGCTAATGTAATAATTCAAATTTCATCACATGCTGGTTCCAGACGTCAAGAAGCCCAACGTCTTGGCCGTATTCTCAGGGCTAAGGTTTTTTATTTTTTTTAATTTATTAATTAATTTCTTTTTTATAAATTTTAATTTATTATTATATTCTGTGGATGTGGAGTGTAGGGTCGTCTGCAGGATAGAATGGCAGGTGGAAAAGAGGAATATAATGCCTTCTTCTACTCCCTAGTATCTACAGATACACAGGTAGCTAATAAATAATATATCATATTATTGAAAAACGTATTATGCTAATTTGACAAACACATGCATGAATGATGTAGGAAATGTACTACTCAACTAAGAGGCAGCAGTTTTTGATCGATCAAGGGTATAGTTTTAAGGTAATTCATTAGTTAGTGTTTTATTCAAAAAAATAAATCAAGGAGATTAATATATATATATATATATATATATATATATATATATATATATATATATATAATATTATTGTGGTTTTGATGTGAACAGGTGATAACAAGTCTGCCTCCACCAGACACTGGGGCAGAGTTGAGCTATCATCGTCTGGAAGACCAACTTTCTCTTCTTTCAAATGTGTGGCTTCTTATCTATTGTTTTGATACTGAAATTCTGTTGTTGTTATTTGTTAATACATATGATATGATAAGATATATGTGTATATTATAGGTGTTAAATGCTGGGGATGATAAACTAGGGTTGGAAATACTTGAAGATGATACAGATGACATTGCACTACAGAAGGCTCGTGCACGCCGTATGATGGGGTCCATGAGTGCCATGTCAGGAGCTAAAGGAATGCTCTATCATGAGTTCAGGTTGGTTTGGTGCCCTTTTTTTTTTTTTTTTTTTTTAAAAAAAATTTGTGTGTGTGTCTGATATAATAACTGGTGGGGTTTGCAGGAGTGGACAAAAGGGAGGTTTTGGAAAGAGCAAGCCTAAGGATCCAGCAAAGAGACATACACTATTTAAGAAACGTTTTGTATAACTGCAGGCAGGCAGGCTTGTTTTATTGTTTTGACTTTTGAGTGCAAAAAGCCCTACCTACCAAATGATTCCGTGGCCTACAAACATGCCATGGCGAGATAAATTGTAATGCCCCAAACCAGAACTACGTGGGCATATACATCTATTCAACAAAACAAAAAACTTGTTTTTTTTTCTGTAAAGAAATATGGACGCATGGAAGGAACTTTACACACACTATACTTATTATATTGGTTTTGTTTGTGTTGACAATGGCATATTGGCATGGTTCACTGCCAATCCATTTGAGTACTTACTGTATTTCATAAATCTCTACAAACATTTTGTATTGTATGGACTACTAGTATAACACTTATGAATGGGTAAGTGAAGTCTACTATTTTAACCCGCCTTACCTTATGATCTAGTAGACTAGTACTGAATAAAATATGACTATCTGTACATGTATTAAACTGAATCAAATAAATTGCAATGTATTTACTAGTTAGTACTATTAGGCAAATCTGAGTTTAGGCATGTCGGGAGATATAGAGGAGTTTTACTTTGAAGGATTTTTATACATGACTCCAAGGTTATCAAGACATTCGTTTCATTTTATTGAAAAACAATCAAATTCATATTTTTATCGTCATTGGAGAATTAGCATTTAAAACAACTCAACTAAGTTTTTAAAACGCTTCTGCGGTATAGATGCTTATACTAGATGCTTATACCAAACTGATCCAAATCCTTTGGCAAGATCAATCCTCTTTTCTAACAAAGCCACTTTAACTACCAATTTATCTATATTTCTATTTGCTTAATTTTTAACCAATTCCAGACTGAAAACTTTTCAGGTCTCGAGGTTTATTCTGATTATCTACAAGCTCAGAATTTGGCCTATAAATATTGCATATTGACTAGCTGGATCAAAAACACCAAAAAAAAAAAAAAAAAAAGGATATGTTACAAGTGTAAGGAACCAAGAGATTATACAGTATGAAAAACCACCTTAATCAATAAAAATACTATTCTTCAGCCACTCTTTCATGTTGAAGAATTTAATTTCCAGCCTACTGATGATACAACATCTAGTTCAAAATAAATTGACTAGAAACAATGTTACAAACAAGGGAAAAAGATAAAACCCAACCCAGCAACACCTTAGGATTAGGATCCCTGTGTCTTGTGTTTAACAGTGTCCTTGTTATCTCTCCAAACAGCCAACACCTCATCGGTTCTAAACCTCTGAGTAAAAGTGGATTCCTCAAGCGGAGTTGTACTTCCATGAGCAAAAGCAAGAAGACCCGTATAAGCAATCATAGCCCCATTATCAACACAATACCTATCATCAGTTGCAAACAAGTTCCCCCCTCTTTCACCACACATCACTCTCATCATCTCCTGCAACCTTTCATTACACCCAACACCACCAACAATCAAAACATCTTTCTTGTCACAGTGCGCCATTGCCCTTTCTGTAATCTCAACAAGCATCGCAAATAACGTCTCCTACAACATTTTCATCATCATGTCAAAAAAACCACACATCTGTCTGACCCCATTAAGCCAAAAACAAATACCTGCAACGAATAGCATAAATCTGCTGGAGTACAATCATTGTTTTTAAGCTTTTCTTCTGCTGTGGCTTCAATGTAGCTCAATATTCCACTAAACGACACATCCATTCCTTTCACAACATATGGAAGGTCTATGAACTTTTCTCCCTTCTTTGCAAGCTGAATCAACAAGAACAAGTGGACCCAAGTCAAAGTTGATTGATTTCATAATCATATTCATAATCAATCATACCTGCTCAATGTTGTACCCTGGACTTGGATCATTTGACAGCATTAAAACCCTAGCAAACCTGTCCAAGCAGTTACCTATAGCTATATCGATTGTCTCCCCAAATATTCTGTATCTTCCCTCACTATATGCAATCACCTATTTATAACCAAAAAAGTCAAATCAGTTTTGATAATCATATGGGTCAATACTCAATACCAATACTCATGGAGTTACCTGTGTGTTTCCACCACTAACATAGAGGACAACAGGATCATCAGCCCCAGTGACAATTCTTCCCATCTCAATATGAGCAACACAGTGATTGACACCTACAATTGGGATCTTCCATAGCTGAGAAAGAACGCGTACAACAATGGCGGAAACCTGCAAGGGTGCACCCATTCCTGGACCTTTTGTGTAACAAAGACAGTCGATGTCCTTTAATGTAATTTGAGCTGTTTCAAGGGCTTCTTTGATTAGGGGAAGGATATGTTGAAAATGGTGTTGGGCAGTTTCACGAGGGAGGAATCCTTGACCTGGTGGGGTGATGTAGGTGTGTCTTGGGTTTGATAAGATTGTGCCATCTAGAGTCACTACACCAACACCAATCTTGTTGGCTGATCCTTCAAATCCCAATGCTATCATTCTTTTCATCTCTGAAAAACACCAATCAATTCACAATTATGATTTCAACTAATGGTCTACCTGTCAATTATGAAGAACGGGAAAGAACCAAAAACAGAAAAAATGAAGTTTGGGGAATTTTATCCAACAGTTGGTGTTCATCAAAAAAGATGATCATTATCAGATTATCTCAAGTCTCAACATCAGTTCATCTTCCCCACCAGCCAAGGTTCATCAGAAGCATAAGATGCAAATATTTATCAACATAAAAGAGGGGTGACAGAAAATGTGAAAATTACCAGCTCAGACTATAGTTTCAATGGCGAATAGCCGTAAATAGCGACAAGCTACCTATATGCTAATGAAATATTAAGGGATAGGCATAAAAAAATAAAAGATATTTCAAATATTATAGCAATTATAATCAAGAAAATAATCAAACAAAACATAATACCGTCTAAATAGAGACTTCACAGTTCATAAGAAAGTAACAGGAAGGAACTTAGGAACTATAATGACATATACAAAAATAAAAAAATAAAAAACAAACAAACAAACAAACCAGAACTCAAGAAGTATAAATGTATATAGACATTGATCAGAAAGAAAGTGAAAAGACAGCAAAAAGAAAAAAAAAACTATTAGGAATAAACTTCCAATCGGACCTGAGGTGGATGAGTGGTTGCCGGAAGTGAAGCTCTGAATGCCGGAGATGTCGCCGGAGAGAACGCCGGTGGGTTCGCCGGAGGTGGAGGCGTGGAGCAGAAGAAGGACTTGGAGGTCGCAGGTCGCAGGTGTAGAGGCGGGAGGTAGAAGCGTACTGATTTCTTATAACGTTAGCCCTAATTTCTTTTATCCCCCTTTTTTTCCTTTAAAAAAATATAGATAAAATAATACTGTCGCTATTTGGGTCGTTTTCGTCACTAACACTAAATAACACCATAGTGGCGTGCGGTAATTTGTCATTAATCGTTACTAATCCGTTGCTAATACCAATGTATGTATAAAAATTAGGGCCGACAAAATTGTACCACGGAAAACCAACTAACATGTTACCAACCGAACCAAGAAACTTGGTAGCCAATACATTTGGTAGCCAAC